TGCAGGGATTCCTCCCTCCCCGCTCCGATGCTGCAGCACTGACTGGCGGAATAGTCGGGGGAGGGTACCGCTGGCTCTGCCACTAGATAGGCAGAGCCAGCTGTCACTCACACAGCTGGGTGGATCTCGACAGTAATGTCGGGATCCGTCTTGGCTGCGGCGTTCTCAGTATACCCCGAGCTGTAGCTAGTTTATGTCCTCCCGTGACCCTTAGGAGAACTATGGGGGAAAACACTTACCCAATAGTTCTCATTTAAAGCTGATTCTCAGGTGAAGGTGGGTGCACTTTTAAACAATCAAGCATTACATATTTCCTGAAAGCAGAGGTCCTATAAAATGAAATGATGGTAATTATGGTAATTGCAATTTTTATGGTACACGATGTTAGCACAACTGTTTATTAAATCTATATTCATAGTAAAAAATAAAAATTTAATGCACACAATATAATTCCCATTTTTGTGGCCAAAACATGAGACTGTGTCATGTAAATAGATACCCAAGACGCCAAACTGCGTGCACCCAGGAAATGGTGGAAAACTAAAGTATTAAAATCCTTTACAGCTCATAAATTTAGAATTAAATGTAAATGGTGGCCCTAGAGTTACTCCTCTTACAGCATGCTGCACATTTTAGTAAGCATGCTCGCCAAACACACCTTCATCATTTTTTACATGATCCTTTTTTTTTTTTGTTACCTAACTTTATTGCTATTACAAGGGGTTCCCTGTGTGATAGCATAATGGAGGTGATAGGTCCTCCTAAACTGTGGGTTTGGCAGCTCTGAACCTGCAAATGTTCAGAGTTGAGCGCTTCCAGGATCACACAGGGAAGATTAGCAAACTGAAGTCCACCGATCTCCAGACGCTCGCCATCCTGACAGCTTCTATGGAGGTCCCAGGCACACAAGAGGGACAGGTAAACCCAGTACACATGGCACAGGGGGGATATGTACCACACACATGAAGCACTGTAGAAGTGGGTTAGACTAAACATGACTTGCAGTAGACAATGGATTACTTGCTGCTTTGTTGGCCTGCACCACAACCTGTGTGAGAAGAAAAGATTTTCCACAACTACATAAATATGTGAAAAGTATTTATTTACCTTAAAGAGACCCTGTCACCTTGCCCATTCAGGGAAAGGTGTCATGGTCTCTTTAAAGCCTCCCTGTCACCACCATCACAAAATACCCAGAGCTCCAAGGATTGGGGACCATGAGCTTTTCTCCCATAATACAGTGCTAGGGCCTGACGGCATATTTCCTATGCTCCTCACCTCCATCTAGTGGCCATATTGCAGTATTTTCCAAATGCTACATTCGACCTGAAAAGAAAATACACTAGGAACATCGCTTTTTGCCTCTATTCGCATATGAAAGAATGTAACGAAGAGATTCACAGGGCGATTGGCTCTGTGAATTGTTTATAGATAGACCCTTTTGTTTTTAAATAGCATAAACTGGTCACACAGTAAAGCTGTGCAGCCTCTGAGAATTACCAGCAGCACACAGGACAAGAGAAGCATTAGTGTTCAGTGTCCATACATACAGAATAAAAGCAGATACTGAGAATTACACCTAACATGCAGGACAAGAATGACATTGTGTCCATCTATATAAAATCAGAACAGATATTGAGTATGCCATTTAGCACATGGGACGAGAGAAGTGCTACTGTGCAGTGTTCATATTGAATAAGAACAGATAATGAGATTTACACTCAGCATACAGGACAAGATAAGTGATACTGTTCAGTATTCATACAGAGCAAGAACAGATACTAAGATTTACACCCAGAATACAGGACGTGTGGAGTGCTACTGTGCAGTATTCAGATATAACAAGAACAGATACTGAGATTTACACCCAGAACACGGGACGTGTGGAGTGCTACTGTGCAGTATTCATACATAACAAGAACAGATACTGAGATTTACACCCAGAACACGGGACGTGTGGAGTGCTACTGTGCAGTATTCATACATAACAAGAACAGATACTGAGATTTACACCCAGAACACGGGACGTGTGGAGTGCTACTGTGCAGTATTCATACATAACAAGAACAGAGACTGAGATTTACACCCAGAATACGGACGTGTGGAGTGCTACTGTGCAGCATTCATACATAACAAGAACAGATACTGAGATTTACACCCAGCACACAGAACAAGAGAATTTCTACTGTGCAATGTTCATACAGAATAATAACTGAGACTGAGATTTACACCCAGCATACAGGCTGATTGAAGTGCTACTGTGCAGTAGTCATACCCTTACTGCTGATCAGTGTTGTGTGCCCTCTTTATTGTTGGTCAGTAGTGTGTGCCCCCTTTACTGCTGATCAGTGGTGTGTGCCCCCTTTACTGCTGGTCAGTGGTGTGTGCCCCCTTACTGCTGGTCAGTGGTGTGTGCCCTTTTACTGCTGGTCAGTGATGTGTGCCCCCTTACTGCTGGTCAGTGGTGTGTGCCCTTTTACTGCTGGTCAGTGATGTGTGCCCCCTTACTGCTGGTCAGTGGTGTGTGCCCTTTTACTGCTGGTCAGTGATGTGTGCCCCCTTACTGCTGGTCAGTGGTGTGTGCCCTTTTACTGCTGGTCAGTGATGTGTGCCCCCTTACTGCTGGTCAGTGGTGTGTGCCCTTTTACTGCTGGTCAGTGATGTGTGCCCCCTTACTGCTGGTCAGTGGTGTGTGCCCTTTTACTGCTGGTCAGTGATGTGTGCCCCCTTACTGCTGGTCAGTGGTGTGTGCCCTTTTACTGCTGGTCAGTGATGTGTGCCCCCTTACTGCTGGTCAGTGGTGTGTGCCCTTTTACTGCTGGTCAGTGATGTGTGCCCCCTTACTGCTGGTCAGTGGTGTGTGCCCTTTTACTGCTGGTCAGTGATGTGTGCCCCCTTACTGCTGGTCAGTGGTGTGTGCCCTTTTACTGCTGGTCAGTGATGTGTGCCCCCTTACTGCTGGTCAGTGGTGTGTGCCCTTTTACTGCTGGTCAGTGATGTGTGCCCCCTTACTGCTGGTCAGTGGTGTGTGCCCTTTTACTGCTGGTCAGTGATGTGTGCCCCCTTACTGCTGGTCAGTGGTGTGTGCCCTTTTACTGCTGGTCAGTGATGTGTGCCCCCTTACTGCTGGTCAGTGGTGTGTGCCCTTTTACTGCTGGTCAGTGATGTGTGCCCCCTTACTGCTGGTCAGTGGTGTGTGCCCTTTTACTGCTGGTCAGTGATGTGTGCCCCCTTACTGCTGGTCAGTGGTGTGTGCCCTTTTACTGCTGGTCAGTGATGTGTGCCCCCTTACTGCTGGTCAGTGGTGTGTGCCCTTTTACTGCTGGTCAGTGATGTGTGCCCCCTTACTGCTGGTCAGTGGTGTGTGCCCTTTTACTGCTGGTCAGTGATGTGTGCCCCCTTACTGCTGGTCAGTGGTGTGTGCCCTTTTACTGCTGGTCAGTGATGTGTGCCCCCTTACTGCTGGTCAGTGGTGTGTGCCCTTTTACTGCTGGTCAGTGATGTGTGCCCCCTTACTGCTGGTCAGTGGTGTGTGCCCTTTTACTGCTGGTCAGTGATGTGTGCCCCCTTACTGCTGGTCAGTGGTGTGTGCCCTTTTACTGCTGGTCAGTGATGTGTGCCCCCTTACTGCTGGTCAGTGGTGTGTGCCCTTTTACTGCTGGTCAGTGATGTGTGCCCCCTTACTGCTGGTCAGTGGTGTGTGCCCTTTTACTGCTGGTCAGTGATGTGTGCCCCCTTACTGCTGGTCAGTGGTGTGTGCCCTTTTACTGCTGGTCAGTGATGTGTGCCCCCTTACTGCTGGTCAGTGGTGTGTGCCCTTTTACTGCTGGTCAGTGATGTGTGCCCCCTTACTGCTGGTCAGTGGTGTGTGCCCCCTTAAGGTCAGTGGTGTGTGCCCCCTGATTGCTGGTCCGTGGTGTGTGCCCCTTACTGCTGGCCAGTGGTGTGTGCCCCCTTTACTGCTGGTCAGTGGTGTGTGCCCCCTTTACTACTAGTACGTGGTGTGTGCCCCCTTTACTGCTGCTGCTGATCATTGGTGTGTACCCCCTTACTGTTGGTCAGTGGTGTGTGCCCTCTTACTGCTGGTCGGTGGTGTGTGCCCCTACTGCTGGCCGGTGGTGTGTGCCCCTACTGCTGGTCAGTGGTGTGTGCCCCCTTTACTGCTGATCATTGATGTGTGTCCCCTTTACTGCTGATCATTGGTGTGTACCCCCTTACTGCTGGTCAGTGGTGTGTGCCCTCTTACTGCTGGTCAGCGATGTGTGCCCCCTTACTGCTGGTCAGTAGTGTGTGCCCCCTTTTACTTCTGGTCAATGGTGTGTGCCCCCTTACTGCTGGTCAGTGGTGTGTGCCCCCTTACTGCTGGTCAGTGGTGTGTGCCCTCTTACTGCTGGTCAATGGTCCGTGCCCCCTGATTGCTGGTCCGAGCCCCCTTACTGCTGGTCAGTAATGTGTGCCCCCTTTACTGCTGGTCAGTGGTGTGTGCCCCCTTACTGCTAGTCAGTGTTGTGTGCCCCCCTTACTGATGGTCAGTGGTGTGTTCCCCCTTACTGCTGGTCAGTGATATGTGCCCTCTTTCCGCTTGTCAATATTGTCCCTCTCTTCTTTCTCTCTTATTCTCCAAAAAAAAAAAAATACAGTGTGATGGTAGAGTGTTAGGGTTTCACCTGAAGAAAAGGTAGCAACCCTGGTGTTGCTCATATACAATAAGAGAATTACACCCAGTATAACGGACATGAGAAGTGCTTCTGTGCTATGGCCATTCAAACAGAATAAGAACAGATACTCAGAACATAATAAAATACAGAAAATCATGTGCCCCTACATATTTTTCCTATGACTTCTTTTATAGTAAGTGTAACACCCACCCCAGTCACATTTGCCAGTCAGCCAGCAACTCGCCAACCACAATATGGCAGCCATTACACCCGCCCCCTCATACGTAACCAATGGGAGGGTGGGCGGAAGTCAGCTTCCGTCTTCTGTTGGTCACCTGTTCATCCTTGCTGGTTACACGTGTTTCCTGTGAGCCCCAGCTACCATGGCGGCTCAGATGATAGAACATGTGCTGGCCCAGGCAGAGAAGGACGAGGCGGAGAAGCTGAAGCTCATCACTGTGCACAAAGAGCTAGAGCTGCAGTTTGATTTGGGAAACCTGCTGGCGACAGACCCCAATCCCGCGGACGTCAAGGCCTTCAGGCAGCAGAACCGGGGGGAATTCCTGTGCTCCCTGGCCCGGGACAACACGCAGCTGCTCATCAACCAGCTCTGGACTCTGCCGACACAGCGGGTGGAGGAGGCGGTGGTGGCCACGCTTCCAGAACCGAGCACTCGCCTGCCCCGGGAGAAGCCTATTCCTAAGCCCCGGGCGCCTACCCGCTGGGAGGAGTTCGCCAAGTTAAAAGGCATCCAGAAGAAGAAAAAGACCAATCTGGTGTGGGACGAAGTGCACAAGGAATGGCGGCGGCGCTGGGGCTATAAACGTGCCAATGATAACACCAAGGATTGGCTTGCCGAGGTCCCGGTCACTGCTGACCCCAACGAGGATCAATTCGCCAAGAGGCTGAAAGCCAAGAAGGAGCGCGTGGCCAAGAACGAGCTCAACCGACTGAGGAACCTCGCCAGAGCTGACAAGGGGAAAGTCCCGGGAGTGGGGCTCACCCCTACCGGACAGCCCAGCAAGGATGAGCTGGGCAAAGCGATGCATGTGGCCAAGCGATCGACAGCCTCCATGGGCAGATTCCAGGACAAACTACCCAAGGAGAAAGAGCCCAAGAGCATGGGCAAGAAGAGAAAGTTCCAGCCCTTGATGGGTGACTTCAGAGCAGAGAAGAACAAGCAGCTGGAGATCCTGAAGGTCTTGGACAGTAAGAAACCTGCACTAGATGTCACCAAGGCAGTCAACAGGCAGATGAGAGAGGAGGATGCAGAGGAATCTGCCAAGAAGAGGAAATTCTCCAAAAAGGGGGGAGGAGGAGGGGGCAAAAAGGGCAAGGGGAAAGGACCAGCCAGAGGAGGGAAAGGACCGGCCAGAGGAGGAAAAGGCCCAGCCAGAGCAGGGAAGGGCCAAGGTGGGAAAGGGTTTGGTGGTAAAGGATTTGGTGGCAAAAAAAGAAAATAAGTTATAAGTGGATGGACCTCTCCTAATGGGGTATGGGTGTCATCACTGATCCACACTGACTGTAACCGTCCCCTGTTGTGCTGATATATGATATTCTCCATTGTAACATTTTCAAGTGAATGATGTTTAATATGTGGGAAGGGCTGTGAGCTGTCATATTGTTAGTAGGAAGAATATTTTTCTATTGCCAAACCTATATTTTTACCTCATTGTGGGGTATGCGAATCATTAAACTAAGTGAAAGTAACCAAACTATGACCTATGATATTTGAATTCTATATTGCAGTCATGGTTATCAAACTTCTAGCATTGTATTATCTTAAAAAAGAACTCCAGGGGGAAAAAATATGAACCTTTGCATTGGGGCTACCCCCATACTGCAAGGGTTCAGTGCTTGTTTGTGTCGCAGGTGCTACAAAAAAAAAAGTTAGTCACCAGAGCCTGCATGTTCTTAGACCAGTGTATAGAATATCGGCACGGAGAGATTTAAAGGAGAACTATGAGCTGAGTGATTTTCACTCAACCTCATAGTTGGAGCCGAAGTGTGACAATGAAACTGTCACACGTCTGCTCAATAGATCGGGAAGGGAGCGAACACACACCGTCGCTCACCTCTCGATCATCTCCCTGCAGAGAGCCTTGAAGGTCACTCACGGCTCCTTGCAGGGATTCCCCCCGCTCCGATCCTCCAGGGCTGACTAACGGGAGGGGGCGGGCACAGGTGTCAATCACGCAGCTTGGTGGATCTCGACAGTAATAGTTGGGGATCCGTCCCGGCTGCGGCGGTCTCAGTATACCCCGAGCTGTAGCACGTGATATACTGAGCTTTGGGTTATGGGAGGACGCCATTTTATGTCCTCCCGTGACCCTTAGAACTATGGGGAAAAGCACTGACCCCATAGTTCTCCTTTAAGGTTCCTGGTGTCATCATGCTTTCTACACTGCATAGATTGTGTATAGACATGAGGACGCCAGGAGCAGTCCATCTGTGTAGCAGAGGAGGAGATATGCTTCAGTGATCACAGAAGCTGGGATTTGTCTCCGGTGGTCTAATATAACTTTTTTTTTTTTTTTAGCACCTAGACAAAAGGAGCACTTGACCCTTGCTGTGCTGATGTAGCCCCACTGCAAGGGTTAGTTAAAAACTTAACCGGAGTTCTTCTTTAAGCCCATGGACAGTGAGGAGACCAGCAGTGATGTTGCAATTAGGGCTCCTTCACACTATAACATGCGCATGTGTTTTTGAACTTGCTTTACAATGTTTTGGTTTCCCCCCCATGCATCACATGCATGCCTTTTTTGTGCACACCACTAGCCCAGCACCATGGTGTGAACTGAACTCATAGGAGATAAGGCAAATTGCCCTGTTCTTGCATTGGACAACACAGCCTCCAACTCATTTTTACTGTGGGAACATGACTAGTCATGATTATTTGACAGTAGAGGTACAGCTATCATTACGCACAACAAAGGTCCGGCAGGGATTGGGAATTAGCCAGGTAGTCGGTTTCACACATTGGTGCACCCTTCATATATAAAAGTCCATTTGTAGGCACCAGATTTACAATTGTTATTTCCATTGCTACTGCTTAAGACTGATGTTTGTGGTCCAAATCTCTTGTGTAAATCTGTTGCCTATACAAGTAAACTTTCTTTTTATGACTGATGGATTTTCAACCACTTTTTATTTTGCTTCAGAAGCAACAGTTCCATACAAACAGCCCTCATCTTTACAAGCACGTTTCTGATCAGGCTTTTGGTCATGGAGGTTATCGTCTCTGGTGTATAGTTAAGTGCTCTCTATATTTATTTTTAAATCCCTGAATGGCGACATAACATACTATTCTATATAAATACATGCCTGCTGACCTTATGAAAATGCTATTTGCCTCTGTTGCTGACTTTAAAGGCTGTTTACTTTTCTGACCACACACACATTTTTTCATGCTGGCTGTGCATGGCTCTGCCCACACAGCTACTACAGCCCTGTGGTGGAGGGACTTGTAGTTCTCAAAGGAATCCCAAGTGCAGTAATGTCACTGCTCTTCTAGTGCATTCGTTCTTCCTCCTGTCCATGTTACTAAAAGTCAATACCAAGGTATGGACAGAAGTAAGAGTCTACAGGAGCCAGAGCATTGCACCCATGATCCACTGATTGTTGTTGCAATGCTTTACCGGCTCCAATGCAAAACTAATAAATGTAGATGTTTTTCTTTTTATCAAGAAAAGTGCTTTTAAAAAAATGTTTTAGGTTTCCCTTTTAATACAATGAGTAACCTACAAGGACAAGATTGCAAGTAAAATCTACTCTGATCTTCATGCTTGTTCTATGTCAGTGACTTGGAATGAGTTGAAGATTTGAGCAAGGATGAGGAGCAGGTAACTAGTATTTTCACAGTGACATTCATTGTATTCCCCTCAGTACAGGTTTCCTGTGCCAAACTGATAGAAGGTAAGCTGGCAACTCGTGCCTTTTTATGCAGCAGTGTAGAGCTGCAGCTAACGATTATTTTCAAAATCGATTAGTTAGCCGATTATTAAGTTCGATTAATCGGATAAACAATAAAAAAAAATTAAAAATGGCTCCAGTGATGGGACTACTAGTTTGTATTGAGATTGTAGTCCATCACAGGAGCAAGCTTGGAGCGGTGGAAAAAAATAGTGTGGTGTGCAATATAGTGAAAAGGAAAGTGTAAAATTATACAGCAATGAATGCAGAATTGCACCGGCTATAGAGGACTACAAATCCCAGCAATAGTACATTATACAGCGCAATGCAGAATATCACCAGCTATAGAGGACTACAACAAATCCCAGCAATAGTACATTATAGCTGGTGGTATTCTGCATTGCGCTGTATAATGTATTATTGGTGGGATTTGTAGTCCTCTATACAGTGCAGTGCAGAATATCACCAGCTATATAGGAATACAACAAATCCCAGCAATACATTATACATACAGTGTATAATGTATTGCTGGATGTGTATTCCTATGTATAATATACAGCACAATGTACCATCAGCTATAGAGGAATACAAATCCCAGCAATACATTATAGAGCACCATGTGTGGGAAGTGCAGGCTTACCTGAGCAGTCTTCCAGCAACTTGCTTCTGAGATCGGACCTGTCTATCGGCGGCTGTCATCCCCCCACACCTGCTCCTCCTTACTACATCTCCCCGCGTCCCTGTGCCGATCGTGGATGTGGGCGGGCGGTGAGTGTGAGGCGGGGAGGAGGTGCGGCGTGAAGAGCGTGGATGCGGGCGGGTCTGGCAGCGGCGAGCGTGAGGTGGGGAGGAGGTGCGGCGTGCAGCGTGTGTGGAGCCGTGAACAGGGCCAACTGATCGGAAGCCGATTAATCGATTATTGAAAAAGTTGACAACTTTTTCAATAATCGATTATAATCGATTATGTCGATTAGTTGTTGCAGCCCTACAGCAGTGTAAGTGAGGCATGTCACAAGCCTTCACCAGCAATGGCTGGATCTTGTGTGATGTTTCAACAGGCTCAGATATTGTCACGGTACAGAGGTGTCTTGATATGTAAATACCATCAGAAAATGCTGCATATATTTTTTTATGAGCAGAGTTTCACAGGATAGGGCTCCAACCAACTAATCGATTCAACGACCAGTTGGACTGGCCGCCAGACTTTGCTGTCAGCGGCTCTGTCTGGCAACCCGGCCAGCTCACTGATGTCACTGTTTGCCAGGAGCTTGGCGGGACGCAAGCCAGAGCATCCCGTTAAGCTGCAGGCAACTGGTGATGTCAGTGAGTGGGGCGGGATGCCATGCAGAGTGTCACAAGTTGCCAAGATCTTTTAGCAACCTAGGATGCTGTGGCTGCCCCTACCACCACCTGGCCCGCCCCTCAATGAGATGTCACCTGAGGCAACCACCTCATTATAAGGTTGGCCTTGAGCAAGTTGCTGGAGTAGAAAAGCCAACACTTGACATTTGCATTAAAGTTGTGGTTTGCATGTGAGAAAAAAGTAGGTGGTAGTGGACTGTAAGGATTAAAAAAAGGATTTTATTTAAAACTTGTTTACCATTCTTTTGGTCTGTTAAACTATCTAAACCCAAAATAAAAGTTTTATATATTGCATCTATAGATACAGGGTCTGCATTTTTTGGGGGGTTTTCTCCCCTTTATTTTCATCTGGTGATCCTGCACACAAAAAAAAACACTCTTCCTGTCTGCATGGCTACTCCCACTCCACCACTGTATCAATGGGTCTGGACTTCAACCTCATCTGCTTTTGTTTATCTCCATTACATTAGACCTGAGGGGGATCAAGACTCTGCACAACAAACATTTTGTGCTTCCTGTTCATCTTACAAGATGTGACAGACACTGCATTTCTGACAAGAGCAGCAGGTATTACTACACCAGGGGTGTGGAATTCGTATCGCCCGACGCCCGGGACATGTAGTTCCAGGCGCCAGGCAAGTGTTTTTTTCATTGTTTTAGCCCTGCTATGGACAAGTAGCAGGGCTGTTTTTCTTTTCTTAAATGAGCGGCACTGTGAGCGGGGGGCGTGGACAGAGGGCGGGGGCGGTGCTGGAGCGCTGAGAGTGAGGACAGGCTCTGTCACCTCTCTCAGCCTCTGTCCTCGGCAGCCGCTGCTCGTTCCTGTCACAGGAGTTCTAGCTAGTGCCTGCTAGAACTCCCGTGTTGGAGGTGACAGGTTCACTAAAGAGTACCTGTCACCTCCAAATGCTGTCACCTCCAAATGCTATCACATGGGCTTGTTAACCCCTGTGTGATAGCAAAACAGTTAAGTTTTAAAAAAATTAGTTAAAAAAAAGTAAAAAATAATAATGTAACTAAATAAAAATGTAAAAAATACAAAGGCGATAAAGTTAAAAATAATAAAACAAATGAAAAATGTTACAAAGTAGATAAAAATTGAAAAAATGAAAACCAGCCCTGCTGCCCCCATCTGCATGCGAATAAACGTTGTGTGTTTTCAACTGCGATCATGTGCAACCGCACGGGC